GTTGCAGCCGTCATTGTTGTTTGGCGGGTCCGGGCTGGGGATTCGAACCCGCCACCTTAGGTGTACGTGGCTGACGCCTTAGCCGGTTGAGCTATAGGCGCCGAGCCAAGAGCTCTGTTTCTTAAAGAGTTGCAGCCTGCTAGGTAGTCATTCTGACAGCATGTACTTTCAGTAAAAGGTTAGGGAAACAGGAATTTATAATGAGTGTGGTAGATAAGCATATATATTTAACAAACTGTAGGAGGAAGCATGAATGTTTATAAAGGTAGGAACATGCACATGTGCAATTGAGCTTCGTCCCCCTTTGTAGGTCTCCTGTATAAAAAATCTCCAACTTTACCATGATCTAGGGGTAGAGTTTTTGGCCTTCTAAATATTAGAAACTGGTTATCATTTCTCTATTATTATCCCCCTTAAGGATGAGGAAACTGAGACTGAGAGAGGTTATATATCTTGTCCATGGTTGTATAACCAATAAAGGGTAGAACTGGGATTTGGCCTCAAATGAACTAACTCTGCTTTGATGCTTGGAGTAAGGATTTAGGAATTCTTGGTCTATAATTGTTTTTGTTTTTTGTTTATATTTTTTCAGAGACAGAATTTCACTTTATCACCCTCAGTAGAGTGTGGTATCACAGCTCACAGCAACCTCCAACTCTAGGGCTTAGGCAATTCTCTTGCCTCAGCCTCCCAAATAGCTTGTACTATAGGCACCTGTCACGATGTCTGGCTATATTTTTGTTGCAGTTTGGCCGGGGCTAGGTTTGAACCCACCACCCTCAGTATATGGGGCTGGCACCTTACCCACTGAGCCACAGGCGCCACCCTTGGTCTAAGTTGTTGATTTTATTATATAAATCAAACAAAGGATTTTGGTTCCTCAGTTCCTTTGTCATGTCCATTTCTAAACAAAAGACTTTCTTTAAACCTCTGGAATTTATGGAATTTTAAGAGCTAAAGTTTTTTGGCTATTTAGAGAACATTTAAGGCAATTTTAGGTCTTTTAAATAAAATAATGCATATTATGACTACTGGATTCTAGTGGCTTCTTCAGTTAATCAGTGTGCCTTTTCAAGCAGCTGATACTGTCAAGAAAACCTAATGGAATAGGGAAAAGTTAATTTTGTTAAAATGTTTGAAAATTCTCTTACTCTAAACCAGAATAAAAGTGATCCTTATTGATTATAGTGTCTGCCTCAATACTGGGTTTTTGTGGGGAAATCTAAGTTTAAATTTCTTTGACCCCAGCCTGGGAGCAACCAACACAGTGGATATTCCATTTCTACAAAAAATAAAAAAATTGACCGGGCATGGTGGCTCACGCTTGTAATCCTTACCACCCTGGGAGGCCGAGGCGGGTGGATTGCCCTGAGCTCAGAGGTTCAAGACCAGCATGAGCCGGAGTGAGACACCGTCTCTACCAAAAATTGCCGGGTGTTCTGGCAGGCGCCTGTAATCCCAGCTACTTGGGAGACTGAGGCTAGAGAGTCACTTAAACCTAAGGACCCAAGGGTTGATGGAGGTTGCTGTGAGCTATGATTCTATGGTGCTCCACTGAGGGTCACAAAGTGAGACTCTGTATCCATTAAAAAAAAGAAAATGAAAGTAAAATTAAAATAAATAAATAAATTGGGTTGGGTATGGTGGTTCATGCCTGTAATCCTAGCACTCTGGGAGGCCCAGGTGGGTGGATTGCTTGAGCTCACAGAGTTCTAGACCAACCTAAGTAAGAGTGAGACCCAGTCTCTAAAAAAAAATAGCCAGGCATTGTGGTGAGCTCCTATAGTGCCACCTACTTGGGAGGCTGAGGCAAGAGGATTGCTTGTGCTCAAGAATTTGACTTTGCTATGAGCTATGATGCCCCAGCATTCTACGGAGAGTGACAAAGTAAGACTTAATTTTTTTTTTTAATCTGGGTGCAGTGGTATATAGGGTTTTTGTGGGGAAATCTAGGCCTTGGCCTCCCAGGGTGGTAAGGATTATAAGCGTGAGCCACCATGCCTGGCCAATTTTTTTATTTTTTGTAGAAATGAGATATCCACTGTGTTGGTTGCTCCCAGGCTGGGGTCAAAGGCGAGGGTGACCAGATTTTAACATCAGTAAGGTGGGACAACATGACCCGGGCTGGAGGGGGGAGTGCGGGGAGCAGGGCCTGACCACAATGCAAACTTTGATAAGTAGTTCTCCATAATCACTTCAGCAATTATTTGTTATTATTACAGTTTAACATTATAAAAATAATATAAAACTCATATTCTGGCGAAATAGCCACATGGCAGCCGAAAACCGTATATTCCCTTCCTGTTCTCCTGCCCGTTAGTGCATTCTTTCCAAAAATTGGGACTTTTTAAAAACTCCACGGGAAGCGGGACAAATTGTTGAAAAGTAGGACTGTCCCGCCAAAAGCGGGACGTCTGGTCACCCTATTCATGGATCAGTATGAGAGAAGAGGAGAAAAATGTAGCCAGCCTAACAAAATATTCATGGTTAAACTGGCTACTACAGACAGCTGCAGGCTTTGAGAGAGGTAAAACGCCTACGAGAAGGTGCAAAAGAGCTCGATCAATTTCAATATGTTCTCCATCTTTCATGGAAACAGCCACTTTCCTTGTTAATTAAAGTCTCCTTCAGCATAAATATAGATTTTGGACTTGTTGCTGGGGAAAAGTCTCTCTTGTTGCTAATTGAACTGATTTTTTCTTGCCTTCAGAATCAGGTTTTTTATGAGTTGTAATTAGCTGTGGGAAGATTATTAAATCTTGGATGACTTTTCAATTCTTTGTCTTATAATAAGCAATTAGCTTTTTTTTTTTT